CCCCCCCTCCCAAGAACTCTTCAGGGAGGCTGCCAGGCCCATCACACACACCCCACCAATGAAAAGATTCAAAACTCCAGCAGGGAAGATAGGACGAAACCAGCAAATTGTCTCCTCCTGCATCCAAATCGCTCAGCTGCTGGTTTGTGGCAAACAGTGGCAGGAAATATTTCCAGAGAATTCGTCGGATGCTTCAACCCTCTGAAGGACTAAGGCATCCTCTGAAGTCTATCTCGGGGGAAACTCATCCTATCTGTAAGCCTGTTAAAAATCCTTCTTCCCCTTTCCTCCAGGGAAGAGATGATTTTCCTCTGGTTGCTGACAGCGTGGCCATCAAGGGTGGCTGAGAATGTGCATGCTGAATTCATAGCACACGCGCGTTCAGAATTGACAAAATGTCACTTCCTATCCCCGAAATATTAACTTAGGCAACTCACCCACAAAAAAAAGAAAGAAAGAAAAGAAACAAAAAAAAGGCAGCCCAAAACTGAAAGGGAAGTAACTAGTCTGTTCAGGCTGCGGTAACAAAAAATACGACAGGCTGAGGGGCATGCATTGCTCCCAGTCCGGGAGGCCGGGAAGCACCAGCGTGGCTGCCATGTGGCTCGTGGCTACTGCTCGCTGCCCTGTCCTCACAGTGAGGTGGGGACCAGGGATCTCTCTGCGGCGGTTTGATGAGGCCTTCATCTCATCGTGAGGGCCCCTCCCGAAGGCCCCACCTCCTAACACCATCACATCGACATAGGAGTTTTGGGGGGACACAAACGTTCACATCACAGCAATAACTAAATGTTGACTCTCAGATTGTGGACCTTGCGTCTGTAACAGATGGACATCCGTCCTTTTTCCCCAGGTGCTTTCCGGAATAACCTCCTCGAGGAGACCCGTGTGCCCATGACTGCGAGAGTCTAGGTCGGAACACGAACGAGGGAAGTGGCTTCTTGGAGGAGCCCATGCCCCATCCCGAGAAGCAGCCGCGAGCTGTCACGTCTAGACAGTAGCAGCCAGGCAGGCCCGGGATTGCCGGATCTTCCCATTTTTTCAAGAAAAGCCCCAAGTGAAGATTTTCCTGTGAAATCGGTCCATTGTAAACCTTGGCTCCAATTTTAAAAAATGGTGCAGGCAAAATAAACCGCACACGTGGGTGACTCATCCCCCGTCTTTGGCCCAGGGACCCTGCTGTGCTGCAGCCTCCCGGCCCTGTGGGAGGGGTGTTGACGCCTAAAATTCTCGGCAGGTCCCAGCCAGGGTTGTGCATGTCGCCCACCCCCCACGGGAGGAGTCTGAAGTCTGCGGGCCCTCCGAAGGCAGTCTCTTGTGGGTAAGTGGCTTCCCCACGCAGGCGATCATAAGATAACCATTCCAAGAATGTCAGGGCTCTTCTTCCAAGAGGGGAGTTGTCAGACACGTTTCATTTTTAACCGCTCCGGGACGCTCTCTGGACCTTCTGTTCTTCCCAGGAGCTCCCAGCAGGTGGCCGGCTGGCGTTGCCGGTCGGCTGGGGGGAGCACCACAGGCTCACTTCGGCCCCACCCCACTTTCAGACGACGCGGAGCCTCAGGCGCTGGGTACGGGTGTGTGTGCACATACGTTAGTCCCTGCATAGTTAAAAATACCAGTAATAGTCTGCTGATCAGTAGAGTGCTTGTTCAGCACCCGTGTGCCCAGCACTGTGCCAGGCACTGCGGTGGAGACAGGACTCGGGGATGTGGACCTGCCCCTTCCGGGGCGTGCATTCCCACGCGGGAGGCAAGACTCACGTCCGTGGACCAGCCCAGAGCGGTGCAAGACAATTTGTCATTTGGTGTGAGAGTGTGTCGTACAGACTTGAAGCTTGATAGGGACCCAGAGAGAGACCGGGAAGGAGGCGTCAGGGTCAGGACTTCCTGAGGCGCCAGGAACGGGGCCAGTCTAAGAAGAGACCTCAGTCCCTCCCTGCTAGGGACAAACAGAACGCATTGGATTTGGGGGCTAAGAAGTCACCGCGGACTTTGGAGCAGAGAAGGGGCTTGTCCGTGTCAAGTTCAACAACTTTAACGCAAACTCATGAAATAACGGGAGTAGCTTCGGGGACAGTCCTACAGCATGGAGAACCCCGCGGTGTCGCAACCAGCAACACAGACAGCACTCACCTGTCCGAGCCCGGCTGTCAGGGAGACGCGACAATTCCAGGAGCCCCTCACCCAACAGCTCAGTGTCCCCAGGTTTCCACAGGCCCCACACGGGGGGAGGGGGGCTTCACTGCCAAGACCCAGGGCTTGGCGCTCTGCTCTGCATGGGGAGAGACCACACACGAGGTGGGAAAGGCAGCGGGACCCACAGGAGGGACAGAAGAAAGGACACACGGAAGAGAGACTCGAACAGAAATACCTAGTGAAGAAAACACACCAAAACGTACGGAAAATCTGTCTCCTAGGGAGATGCGAGGTCCTCGTCCGTCGTTCTCTAATGAGCGTCTGTGACATTCCTCCAACAGCAAACTGTGCCTCACTCAGGTGTGCTTCCGGTATTACTGGTAGAATCCAGGTGTGTCGGGGAAACGGCGCACAAAATCCCGACTATCAGTTCTCACTGCACAACGGAAGAGCAGCGTGTTCTGTAGGGAGTCAGGACGGAGACGGGGAGCTGGGGGAGAAGGGGCTTTCCTCACGCCCAGGCAGGTGGCGCAGGGCGAGGGATCACGGCGGGGGCCCGCCTCGTGGGTGGGGAGGTCGGTGATCGGGGTCACCACTGCCCGGGACACGGCCGAGGGGCACGGAGCGGCATCCTCGGAATTCTCATCCTGTAACAACACGGAAATGAAAATCCCACCACTGACCACATTTAGTTAGGCCACCAATTCCGAATCGGTTTCCTGTTCTACTGTCATCAATATGTACAGACATTCTCTACTTAAAACCAGAGAAACCTATTTCTAGACCCTAAATAGATCGTTTTAAAAACCCTAATTATTACACCAAAAAGTAATAATGTACATGTTGGCTAATTGAACTTAATAAAAAAAAATAAAAAATAAAAAAACAAAACAATAAAAACCCCTAATTAAATTCATGCTTTTTTGAACAGAGACAAGACGTGGTAAAATTTAAGAATCCCATAAAGATTGTACATTCTCAGATTGGCATTTCAAGCTTTTTTTTTTCATTGCTTAGAAAAAAGTCGTCCCACGAACACGTTCCATAAAGTTGCAACACCCGTGTTCCAAGTTACTGACCAGCAGCACGTCCAACATCAGTCTTAGTTTCCATCACTTACACACGAGCCATGGGAAGACATTCAAATACTTTCTACTTCCCGTCCCCCCGACGATCCCCCCTTACTCTGAACCCCGTGCTCATCTCTCTGAGGGAAATCTCTCTCTGGAAGAGCTACCACTTACCCAAGCTGCGACTACCGGGCAAACGGTCCATACCTCCGTCCCGTTTGCTAAAACCATCTGCAACCGTCTCTTCCCTACGGGGGTCCACTTCATGCCTGTGGGTTCTCTCAACGACTTAGACCCTTTGAGCGCAAACCTGCCGAGGCCCAGGGAAATTAATATTTGGACAGATCTTCATGGAATCATGGGCATCAAGTGTCTCCTCCTCCGGACCGTGTCTAATTTCTACCTGATGGCGAAGGTAAACCAGGTGCTTGGCTCTGAAAAGCTGGTAGGCTTTTCATTAAGCAAAATGACCCATGTGAAACCAGCCCAGGACCCACGGACTCCTGCCTAACAGGTACCTGTTCATCTGGCTCCAAAGTCAACACCCCAAGTCTAAAACCGATCTGCTGTTGTCCAGGAGGGTGGGCATGAAGTGTCTTTCCCTGGAGAGTTCTTAATGGAGAAACACAAGCAGAGTCGCTAAGATGCCACGTGAGTCCTGAGCCGGCCCTCCTTAGCCCTGCCGCGGCAAGAGCCACCCTACCTGCCCTGTTTTCCCCGCATGCGACAACTGGCAGTTTCGCAAAACCCAGACGGAGAACAGCTCTCTGGACACCACCAGCCCATCTTCTTCCTACTGGAGCTGGTGCCGTGCATGAGTAAGCTGTGTGCACAGCCACGGCGCATCGGCCACGGCCTTCCATCCTGGCATGCAAGCCCGTCGAAAGCTGTGAGGCTGGGACCAGCGGGCCCGGAGCTGCTGTGAGCCCAGGCCTGCGCAGCAGGGCCAGAACCCATGTGGTCACTCAAAAGATCACACACAAAAGCTTTCGTTCAGTGAGAGAGATGGAACTCAGTTTTATTGTGTCCTCTCTGAAACTTCCATTTACCCACGGCCTCGTCTATCAAAGAGGAGGAGGGAGCTCTGGATGAGTCCCCAGAGCTCGAGCGCGCGGGGGCGTGGTGGCTGGCGGTGGTCCGGCTCGGAGAGATCACGCTGCCAGGGCCGGTCCGACCGGCCGCTCCGAGTGCGTTTGGATCTGTTAGTGTACCATTCCATAAAGTGCTTCTGGAGTTCAAACCTGCCAAGCCGTCAAAAGCGTCCACACTTTCATGACACAAAGGCTAAAAGAATCCCAATGGGTGTGCCACCGAGTCCTTCCCAGCTGGGTCTCGTGGTTGGCACCTGCCGCTTTAGCCGCCAAGGCGCTGGCCCTCACCCCAGGCGAAGCCTCCTGGCCGCTCTTCAGGTAGTGGATTGTAATTTGGATCCTCATCTGGTGTATCAAAAATAGCCTTCCTAAAAGGCAACAGAGATCACTTAGTCCCGCAGTCACCTCGAGAAGGTCCCCCGGGGCCCCCACCAAAGGACAAACATTACACCCACCTACCAGAAAGTCATCGCGCTAAGAAAGTTTCACAATCATTTCACGTTTGCGTTAATGCTTTACCTTCAGGATTTTTTTTTTTTTTTTTTTTTTTACTACGAAAGCAGTACATGTTAGTTGTAGAGAAAACACAAAATATACACAGACATCCTTAATCTCCAGAGAGAAATCACCGTGGGTGTTGTCATCATTCTTCCACAACTTTTCTGTGTGTAACAAAAGTTAGATCACACTATTGTTTTATAACCTGATTTTCCATGAATTTATCACGAAGGTCTCTCCACAACCAAGGTATCGCCCCGTACCCACTGGCAGATGGACGGATCAAGAAAAGGGTCCGTCCACACAACGGGATAGTATTCAGCCTTAAAAAGGAAGGAGGTTCTGACTCCCGCGACATCGTGGATGAGCCCTGAGAACACCGTGCTCCAACGGCCAGACACGGGGCAGACACTGCGGGATTCCACGTGTGAGGGACCGGGAGCAGTGCCGTCACTGCGGAGGCTGGGGCGGGGACGGAGCGTGTTCCTGAGGACAGAGTTCACTTTGGCAGGCTCGAGAGCTGAAGGATGGACGGGGTCACAGAAACACAACGTGAGGGCAGTCATGTTACGGAATGGCACATCTGAGCTGCGTAACGTGACGCATTTCATGTTACATAGATTTTATCACAACCGAAGTTAAAAAAACCTCACAAATCATTCCAAGAAAAATTACGCAGATCACAGGAAAGGACAGTCAGCGTCCAAAAGACTTTTAAAATCCCGTTAGACGGTCATTCAAGTTCCCCTTAGAGAACTGACCATTAAAACAGCATCTGCTCTTTGCATCCGTGTTTCTAACGACACTGCCCACGGCTGGTACCGTTAGAAATGTATCCAAAAACTTCTGTCTTATAGTGGGGTCAGGAAAAGCATCTATACTTCAGCATGAGCTGCTTGAATTCTTACAAACTAACAATAAAAGTAAACACACACCGGCAGAAAAATACAGGGCTGAAGAGGCAATTCGAAAAGGAAATCCAAAAGGCCAATAAACATGAACACGTTCACTTTTGTAAAAATGAAAAGAAAGCATGTTAAACAGCGAGGCCGCTTCTACTTCCCGAACAGGCACGGGACAGAACAACGTGGGCACGCGAGCAGGGAAATGGGGCCATGGTGGCCCCGAGCCGGACGGGGGTTGGAGGGACATCCCAGTGGCGTAGGGCGCACACCCATGGACGGGCCTGGTGCAGCGTGGTGAAGCCTGAGGAGGCTTCAGGCGGGCATTCCCTGAAGAGGGCAGCCACCACGGGGGTGCGGGCAGAGCAGGACGAGAAGGCGTCCAAGCGGGGAGCGGGCGGGCAGCACCGTGATGAGAGGCTGGTTACGCACGGGGCTCACTAAATAGGTGG